CCCAGGTGTGGAGAAGCAGGGGGACCCACTGAGGGCTGATCGCGGTCACACATTCATGCATAGATCGACCAGTGAAGGAGCGAGCAGTGAAACGGACCAGGCAGGCCCCAGTGGCAGGAAGCGGCAGAGGGAACTGCCATCGCCCCTCTCTGACCCCGCCCCCACATACAGCATCACAAACCAGCAACCTGGGTGGCCCCACCCTGGTAAACAACTTAGGCTCTGCTCCTCATAGGTAACAGGCATGAACAGATAAAAACATGGCTCAAGAACAACTCAGAGCCCCAGAGCCTATAAATCTAAGCAAGCAAGAAATAGCTACACTTTCAGATGCACAGTTCAAAACACTGGTGATCAGGATGCTCATAGAACTAGTTGATTTTAGTCACAAATTAGAGGAACATATGAAGGCTAAAACGAATTGAAATGAATGGAAATACATAGGAAACCAATAGTAGTGGAAAGAAAACTGGGACTCAAATCAAAGGAGTGGACCAGAAGGAGGAAAAAAATGACCAAACAGAAAAGGATGAAGAAACAAGAATTCAAAAAAATGAGGAGAGGCTTAGGAACCTTCAGGACATCTTTAAACGTTCCAACATCCAAATTATAGGGGTACCAGAGGGGGAAGAGGAACAGCCACAAGTGGAAAACTTATTTGAACAAATAATAAAGGAGAACTTCCCCAATCTGGCAAAGGAAATAGACTTCCAGGAAATCCAGGAAGCTCAGAGAGTACCAAAGAAGTTGGACCCAAGAAGGAACACACCAAGGCACATCATCATTACATTAGCCATGATTAAAATGAAGCAGAGAATCCTAGAAGCAGCAAGAGATAAGGGGACAGTCACCTACAAGGGAGTCCCCATCAGACTGTCAGCTGATTTCTCAAAAGAGACCTTACATACAGGCAACAAGGGGCTGGGAAGAAATATTCCAAGCCATGAAATCCAAAGACCTACATTCAAGATTGCTCTATCCAGCAAAGCTTTAATTTAGAATGGAAGAGCATATAAAGTGCTTCTCAGATAAGATCAAATTCAAGGAGTCCATCATCACCAAGCCCTTATTATATGAAATGTTAAAGGGACTTACCTAAGAAAAAGAAGATAAAGATGAACAGTGAAAGGACAGCAAACTCACAGTTATTAAGAACCACACCTAAAACAAAAGCAAACTAAGAGGACAGCTAGATCAGGAGCAGAACCACAGAAATAAAGATCACATGGAGGGTTATCAACAGGGGAGTGGGAGAAGGAGAAGGGGTGAGAAGGTACAGAAAATAAGTAGCATAAGATGGTAGGTAGAAAATAAATAGGGGGGAGGGCAAAAATAGTATGGGAAATATAGAATCTAAAGAACTTGAGACACGTGGTCATAAACTAAAGGGGGGGATGGTGGGGGAGGGGGTGTGCAGGGTGGAGGGAAATGAAGGGGGGAAATAGAACGGTAATGGCATAATTAATAAAATATATTTTTTTTAAAAAGAAGCTAAACCATACTGTGTCCCTACCCTCTTGGCTACAGAATTTGTTTCTACACTGATAACTAATTTTTTGTTATTATATATTATTGATTATGTTATTACAGCTGTCCCAAACTTCCCTCTTTGTTCCCTTCCACCCAGATAATCCCCATACCATTCTCTGTGTCCATGGGTCCTGCATATATGTTCTTTGGCTATTCTAGTCCCCATATCTATTCAGTAACTACCAATTTGTACCTCTTAATCCCTTCACCTTTTTCTCCTAGGCCCCCCACAACCCTCTTCCCACCTGGCAACCATCAAAATATTCTATCTGTAACTGTTTTTGTTCTGCTTGTTGTTTGTTTTTTAGATTCAATTGTTGATAGATATGTATTTATTGCCATTTTACTGTTCATATTTTTTATCTTCTTCTTCTTAAAGGAGACCATTTAACATTTCATATAATACTGGTTTGGTGATGATGAAGTCCTTTAACTTGACTTTATCTAGGAAGCACTTTGTTCTTCAATTCTAAATGATAGCTTTGCTGGGTAATCTTGGTTGTAGGTCCTTTCGTTTCTCACTCTGAATATTTTTTGCCAATCCCTTCTAGTCTGCAGTTTCTTTTGAGAAATCAGCTGACAGTTTTATGGGACTGCACTTTTAAGTAACTGCTTTTCTCTTACCGATTTTAAGATTCTCTCTTAGCATTTAACTTTTGTCATTTTAATTATGATGTGTCTTGAAATGGGCCTCTTAGGGTCCATATTGTTTGGGACTCTCTGTACTTCCTGTACTTGTATGGCTATTTCCTTCACTAAGTTAGGAAAATTTTCTTTCATTATTTTTCCATATAAGTTTCAAATTTCTTGCTCTTTCTCATCTCCTTCCAACATCCCTATCATGGGAATGTTGGTACACTTGAAGTTGTCCCAGAAGCTCCTTACACCATCCTCATTTATTTGGATTCTTTATTCTTCTTGCTGTTCTGATTGGTTGCTTTTTGCTTCCTCATGTTCCAAATTGCTAATTTAATTCTTGGCTTCATCCACTCTACTGTTAATTTCCTGTAGACTGTTCTTTATTTCAATTACTGTATCCTTTGTTTCTGACAATCTTTTTTATGCTGCTGAGGTCCTCACTAAGTTCTTTGAGCATCCTTTTAACCAGTGTTTTGAACTCTGCATCTGACAGATTGCTTGTCTCAATTTTGTTTAGTTCTTTTTCTGGAGTTTGGGTCTGTTCTTTCATTTGGGCCATGTTTCTTTGTCTCCTACTTTTTGAAGCCTCCCTTTGTTTGTTTTTATATTATTATGTTGAGCTACTATGTCTCCCAGGCTTGATACAATGGCTTAATGTAATAGGTGTCCTGTAGAATCCAGTGGCACAGCCTCCCATTATCGCCCAAGCTGGGTACTCAAAGTGCAGCCACTATGTGGGCCAATGTATACCCTCCTCTTGGAGTTGAGACTTGATTGCTATTGGCACATCCAAGGTCACCCATTGCCTGTGTTCTGTCTGGGGTCACACAGAATTAGCTAAAAAGCGATCTGCAGATGACTGCTACTTGTGCTGAGCTTGGAGGTGCTGCCCTGATAACTAGTTTTTGAAGTGCACTGCATTAAGTTGTATTTCTTTTGTATTATTTTGGGGTTTTTTCCTCATTTGACTATCTTTTGCTCATTCTATGGGAAAATTCCATCCCCCACCCCATTTTAAACTAAACGTATCAGGTTAAGAGCATTCTACTTTAAACCTAAATAAGTCCAGGAGTAGCTTGTTTTGAGTCCAGAAACAACTGTCCGTGCACACTAGATTGGTGTAGGAAAACTGGAAGTATAAGCACCAGTTAAGCCTACTATAGTAATCCCCCCAAAAAGGAGATGGGCCCTGGCCAAACATGGTGGCTGTAAGGATGGAAAGGGGCAAAAACATTAGTGGACTATACTAGAAATTAGGAGTAAAGGGAACACCCAGCTTAAAACTCAAGTGTTTCTGGTTGCTTTTAGGATGAAAAAACAAAATTCTTAACAAAAGTTATAAAAATACACATTTGCCCTCTGCCCATCTCTATAGCTTCCTCCTGTTCCATTAATCCCCTGTGTTCATTCCTTTGCTGTGTATGCTCTAGCCACACAGGCATTCTTCAGGTCCCTGAATGTATCGAGTAGGCACCCTTCTGCTTAAGGTCCTTGACATGCGGTTCACCTTGACTGAAACACTCTTTTAATTTCTTTACTTGGCTCCCTCCAATTTAGCTTTCAAATCTCTCCTCAGTTCTCACTTCCTCAGAGAAGCCTTCCCTGATCCTCCAAATTAGGCCAGTCCCCCTGTTACATGTTTTCATAACACTACTTTTCCTTCATGACATTAGTCACAGTATATAAGCCACTTATCAATATGTAATCACATAGTTGAAAGTTATTTCATTAATGCTATTTTTGTCACTAAATTCTAAACTCTATGAGGACAAAAACAGTCTTTGCTCACAAATACCTACTAGTTGGGGAGTTATTAGAATAATACTTGCCCTGGCTGGTGTGGCTCAGTGGATTGAGTGCCAGACTGCAAACCAAAGGGTCACTGGTTCAATTCCCAGTCAGGGCACTTGCCTCAGATGTGGGCCAGATTCCCAGTGCAGGGCGCTCAAGAGGCAACCACACATTGATGTTCCCTCTCTTTCTCCCTCCCTTCCCCTCTCTAAAAATAAATAAACCTTTAAAAAAATAAAACAAAATAATACTTAATACAAAATACTCAGTGTATGGGTAAATGGATAACTGAATAAATGATAATTGAACTTTTTTAAAAAGATTTTATTTATTTACTTTTAGAGAGAGGTGAAGTGAGGGAGAAAGAAGGAGAGAAACATCAATGCGCAAGAGATACATCAATAGGTTGCCTCTTGCATGCCCCCAATCAAGGATCTGGCCTGCAACTCAAGTATGTGTCCTAACTGGGAATTGAACTGGCAACCTTTTTGTCTGTGGGCTGGCAGTCAATCCACTGAGCTATTTGAGCCAGAGCTAAACTTTTGATCCTAGGTACAACTAAAAATTTGAAAGAAAATTAAGAAAAAAAAATGAGGGAGTGTCAAGGCAATTCAATAGGAAACAACTGTCTTTTCAACATAATGCTGGGGCAACTGGATATTCACATATAAAATGACAAACTTGGGCTCTTACCTCACACTATATATATAAAAAAAACCCTCAACATGTATCAGCAAACTAAATGTGAAAGCTAAAATTACAAAACTTTTTGAAAAAAAAACAGAAAATCTTCAATACTTTGGGGGTAAACAAAGATTTCTTAGATATAATACCAAAAGCATAATCCATAAAAATATAGATAAACTGGACTTCATCAAAATTCATGACTTTTTGCACTTCAAAAGACTTCAAATTTAGAATTGCAAAGCACAAATATATAAATAATTGGCATCTATAAACAAACAGCTTTAGGCTATTTTCTTGCAGACTACTTGCTTCAGTCAAACTTTAATATCTTCAAAAAATGAATAATAACTTACCACATCCCAAAGTCCAACTTGCCCATATTTGGCTCCAACTGCCACCAAAGTTCTAATTTCTGATGGATGAACAGCCATAGACAGTACTGAACCTTTGGTAACTTTACAAACAGTATCTCCGCTAATGACCATGCCACCTAAACTGGTTTTGTAGCTGAGAAAATTTAAAAGTTACATTTTAGAAGTAAAACCAGTTTTAACTGACAAAATAAGTAAAAGATGAATCAAAAAAATCATAATTAGTAAATATGGGAAAGTATTAAACCTCCATGCAACCAAAAAAAATCTAAGTAAATATAAGGTCTGTCCAGAAAAAGTCCACCCATTGTTAATATGAAAACAGTTGGTACAACATCAGTGTAACCTGGCAGCCAAGGAGAGTGGACTGGAATGCACATGTGTGAATAATGACAACTTCACTGTACTAGTCAGTAGTAGTTGTAGACACCAATGAGTGAGCCTATGTACTGTGTGGGAGTCCCATTCAAAATGACTGAGAAAATAGAGCAATGAATCTGCATCAAATTTTGCATTAAACTTGAACATTCTGCCCTGGCTGGTGTAGCTCAGTGGATTGAGCATGGACTGCAAACCAAAGGGTCGCTGGTTCAATTCCCAGTCAGGGCACATGCCTGGGCTGTAGGCCAGGTCCTCAGTGGGGGCCATGTGAGAGGCAACCACACATTGCTATTTCTTGCTCTCTCTTTCTCCCTCCCTTCCACTCTCTAAAGATAAATAACATCTTAAAAAAAAAAAAAAAAAACCTTGAACATCCCTCCATGGAAACTATTCAGATAATTCAGAAGGCTGTAACAACTAATGATTAGCAGCTAAGCTTCATCACCACCACCACATGCCTGCTCATGCATCTTGACTCATGCAGAGTTTTTTAGCAAAACATCAAATCACCCAGGTGACTCAGCCCCCACTGCAGCCCAGATTTGATACCCTGAGACCTGGCTTTTCCCAAAACTAACATCACCTTTGACAGGGAAGAGATTTCAGACCCTCAATAAGATGCAGGAAAATATGATGGGGCAGCTGATGGTGACTGGGGAAACTGTGTGAGATTCCAAGGTGCCTACTTCGAAGGGGACTGAGGCATCACTGTCCTATGTACACTGTTTCTTGTATCTTCTTCAATCATTGTCTCTATTTTTCATAGTATACCGCTGGAGACTTTCTGGACAGACTTCATAATGAAGTACTATTTTCACTAATAAAAACTAGTAGGCTACAGTTAAACATATACTTTCATATATATTGGTAGTGGCAGAGTAAATTCGTGTAAGATTTTAAGGAAAAAAAAGATTTTGGAAAACAATTCAGCAATGTGTACTAAAAGTCATAATTATGTCAATAAATCTGATTCATAATCCCACTATCCTAAAGAAATAATCTACTATTATGCATACATACACACTTGAACAAACACATGCACACATACAGACAAAAATAAATAGAAAACAATTCCAAACACCAAGGGGGTAAGAAAGAGGTTGAGTAAATTTTACCTCTCAATAAAATATTATGCAACTATTTAATGAATATAAAGACTCTAATAACATGCAACCACAATGTTAATGAAAAGCCCAATGCAAATGTATATAAACATTGGAACATAAAAGAGTAAAGTGTTTGTGGATTCATTCATTCACTTATTAAACGCTGAATGAATATATATTATGTGCTAGACACTGTTCTGGGAATTGAGATAAAACCCCTTCATTCACGAAGCTTGTATCTAGAGCAGGGGTGTCAAACTCATTTTCACCGGAGGCCATATCAGCCTCGCAGTTGCCCTCAAAGGGAAAAATGTAATTTTAGGACTGTATAAATGTAACTACTCCTTAACTAGGGGCAAGGAGCTCTATGCTGCCTCTGAGTAGAAACAAGGTGCCAGGCCAGATAAAACAAGGTAGAGGGCCAGATTAGGCCTGTGGGTCTTGTGTTTGCCACCTGTGATCTAGAGATTCTGTATACGGTAATACTTCAAAGGAAATATACAAAAACAACACTTGTTTGGGTAAAAATATTATAGGTAGTTTTTACACCTCATTTACAAAATTTCCTATTTTACAGTCTTTATAATGTAAAGGTCTTAGAAAATGTAAATAGAGGCAAGGAATTTTAACTCACCTTTTAATGCTAGACAATTTCTTCTCAGTGTTCTTACTACTACTTGTCTGAAACAATGGGAGAGACCAAAGTACTAAGTTAAGATATGTACTAAAATTTCATTAACGGATGATTCTAAAAGCTAAAATCCCTCCCAAATGATACCTTGCTAGCTTCTGCCCAGGTCTGTAGAAATCCTTTAAATAGTTCACTGTTATCATCTCGATTTTCAGGAGTCATTTCTAAAGGCCCAGGAGGTAACAAAGGCTGTTATGAAAAAAAGAAAAACAGATAAAAGAGTTGACTGTCTTCCTGCCCTACAAAGTACACTTGAGGTTTTTCACTATTTTACTTTCAATACCAAGAAGGGTGACACACCATTAGCATTCAAAAATAGTTGTTCAATGAATGAACACCACCTATCCTTGTAATAAAATGTATTATCTCATTTAATCCTCCCAGAAATCCCATAAATGACATACCACATTTTAAAAACGCTGGGATGAAACTTAGAGAAATTAACTTATCCATAGTTATACTGCCAACAACTGAAGTTGCTGAGAATTAATTCAGATAGTTTAATTTCATAATCAAAATTATTATCCTATAGCACTGTTTTTAAAATCAGAGATTGTAACTCAGGGTTGTGAAATCACTTAAATATACCACAACCAGCAATGTGTTTTAGTGAATGAAAAAAGAATACAAAATACAGAAGTGTATCATGTATAGTAAAGGTAAGTATCATTTCACAAGTTTTGCTTTAGTTGTGTGTGTGCATGTGTGTATGTGTTTGCGTAATAAGTTCAATGTAAATAGATTTCTTATCATGGGTGAAGGCTTCAAAAAATTTGAAAGCTACTCTTCCCATTGCACCTTAATTTGCATTAGCTTCCAAAACACCAGCCTAATTATTGCCTGATTTATAATTAAACATTTAAATATAAAATATTAAAAACAGCCCTGGCTGAGTGCAGGCTTGTGAACTAAAGGATCGAGGTTCGATTCCCAGTTCCCAGCAGGGGATGCAGGAGAGGCAACCATACATTGAAATTTCTCTCCCTCTCTTCTTTTCTTCCCCTCTAAAGATAAATAAATAAAATCTTAAAAAAAAATTAAAAACAGTAGGTACTCTTGATAAAAAATATAATCTTAGACAATAAATTTGGTAAATAAGACTCTTACCACTCAAAAAATCCATTATAAAATTAAACTACAGCAAAAAAATCCATCATTAACACATATTATTACTAATAACATTAATAACTACCATTTATTGATTGCTTACTAAGACCTTAATATTATACAATGTAAGGATCTTTATAGAAACTATTTCATTTAACCCTCACAACTCCCCATTGAGATTTCTACTATTGTTGCCATACAAAAAAATGGGGAAGCCAGAATTTGGAAAGGTTAAGTAATTTACCCAAATCCCACAGTAGGTAAATCTGCAGGAATACAGAATCCAACCCTGTCTTAATGACTTAGAAATCTTACTCATTAAACCAGCAATTTTCAACCTTTTTCATCTCATGGCACACATAAACTACTAATATTTTGCAGCACACCAAAAAATATATTTTTTACCAAACTGACAAAAAAAAAGTATAATTTTGATTCATTCACACTAGATGGCTATTGTTGTGTTGCTTGTTGTCATTTTATTTGACAATCAAAGTGAAAAGAGGTCAATGTACCTAACTAAATTAGTCAGGTGTTGCATGTTTTAAAAATTCTTGTGACACACTGGTTGAAAATCACAGTATTAAACCATATAACAGTCAAGTATTAAATTAATAAAGTACAATTTCAACATAATTTAATAACCTTTTAGTCTAGTTTCGAACACTTCAAAATTTTCAGTATTTTATTGAGTTGGAATATTATATTTGCACTTTCTTACATTTTCATCTTCTACTACTGTTGGCTGGGTTGCAATTTCTGGTAATGAAACTCCTGAAGGATCTACATTTTGTAATCGCATTGATCTTCTACATCCAGTCCCATTTTCTCTCTTCTTAGGCTTCTTTCTAAAGAAGTGGGGAAAAACTCATCTTATACTCATAAAACAGTTATATGTATTTACTAATATAAGGAAATAACTTCTAGGAATGTATTTCATGGGTATAGTCATGGATACAGTTATACATATTTACTAATATTAAGGAAATAACTCCTAGGAACATATTTCATGGATATAGTCACACATTGCAAAGATGTATGTACATAGGTATATACTGATTTAACTAAAAGTCTAGAAATATAAATGTTCATCATGGGGAAATGAGAGATGTTAAATAATGACATACATATCTAATAGAACAATTTGCAGCTATAAAAAAGAATGAAAGATTGTAAGTGGATATAAAATGAACTCTTAAGCAAAAAAAGGGACCTGTTTATTTATTTATTTTTAAAAGATTTTATTCATTTATCTTTAGAGGGGAAGAAAAGAAGAGAGGGAGAGAAATTTCAATGTATGGTTGCCTCTCATGTGTCCCCCACTGGGAACTGGCCTGCAACCCAGGCATGTGCCCTAACTGGGAATTGAACCACGATCCCTTAGTTCGCAGGCCCGCACTCAAACCGCTGAGCATACCAGCCAGGGCACTTATTTATTTTTTTAAAAAAGGTTACATATACACGTACATTTGTGCATGCTGAGACTACCTATGAAAGAATATACGTGAAACTACTAAGACTGGTTTCCTCTAGGGAGGAGCCCTGGCAAACTACAGTCAAAGATGGGAAAGAGACTTAAATGCTTCATTGTATTCCTTTTCATATAGTTTACTTTTCAAAAATCATATACATGTCCTGGCAAAATGGCGCAGTTGGTTGGAATGTTCAGTATCATTCCATGCACCAAATGGTTGCCAGCTGATTCCTGGTCAGGGCCTGCCTGGGTTATAGGTTCAGTCCCCAGTTGGGGCATACACAGGAGGCAACCAACCGATGTTTCTCTCTCACACTGACGTTTCTCTCGATCTTTCTCTCAATCTCTCCCTCTCTCTACAGAAATCAATGGAAATGTCCTTGCATGAGAAATAAATAAATAAATAAATAAATAAATAAATAAATCATATACAGGGTGGAGCAAAACAGATTTACAAATGTGAGTATGCAAAACAAAGTTTATTCTTGTATTATTTATTAGTTATTGTATTATTTTCCATGTGAACAACTATAAACCTACTTTTACCCTACCGTCTATATACATACGCTGTATATACCCTACTTTTTTATGCACTATTTTTCATTTTTGAAAAGTAGTTGAGAACTTCTAGTTTTTGACTCCATCTGTAGAGAGCTTCTAAGTCACAACTCTATCTCATTAAGTAACAAGCTGAACAAACTGAAAAATCAAGAACTTTTCTAGGACCCATAAGAGTGACAAGGACACAGTGAAAACCACTGATCCCAATATTGGAGAGCCATACAGACAAATACAAGAGGCATGGCTTACTGGAGCAGAGACTCAAAAAAAAAAAAAAAAAACCACCATGTAAACCAGCGCCTGAACCACCAGGAAAACCTGACCTGTAACTGACCGATTGCTAGAGGCTCTGTGTAGGTTAAGTCTGAGAGTTAAAAACTCCAGAATAAGCTACACAAAATCTGTGCATGGATGTTTATAGCAGCTTTGTTTATAACAGCCAAACCTGGGAAACAATTAAGGTGTTCTTCAATAGATGAATGGATAAACTGTGGTACATCCAGACAATGAAATATTATTCAGTACTAAAAAGGAATAAGCTATCAAGCCATAAAAATACATGAAGGAATCTTAAATGCATATCACTAAGATAAAGAAGCCAGCCAATCTGAAAAGGCTGCATAGTGTATGATCCCAAATATATGACATTCCAGAAATGGCAAAATTATGGAGACAATAAAAAAAATAGGCAGAGCACAGAGGATGCAGGGGGAGTGAAAATAATCTGTATATTATAAAGATGGATATATGTCATTACACATCTATACAAACTTGACTGGCACAATAACAAAAATGATCACTAAGTTAAACAATGGACTTTGGGTGATTATGATGTGTAAATATAGGTTCATCCTAGGTACCAATGTGCCAGTCTGGTGAATGATCCTGATAATGTGAGAGGCAATGCATGTGTGGGGACAGGGATATGTGGGAACTGTACTTTCCTCTAAATTTTATTGTGAAGCTCAAACTGTTCTGAAAAATATTAAGTCTTTAAAGAAAAACTTCAGTGGAGATTCATCCCCACAATTCTGTGAGTCTTACTTCCAGGAGCTCGAACAGGTCCTCACAGTAAATATCAAAGAAAAATCCCCTCATTCTCACAGCAGTAAGGGGAAAGGAACCATTTGAAGTATACCAGAGCATTGTTCTTAACAAGAATTGATGTGAGGAGCAAGTAGTTAACCTGAGTCTAACCTGTAGAGTATGATCAGACCCTAACCAACTTTGAGGAAAGGAAATACCCACCTTCAGCACACCCTTGCCATCTTCTCCCACCTAAGAGGAGAGGTGAAAACTAAAACACTGAAGTTCACAGTCCAGAGACACAAGCTCACTAAAAGACTGAGACCTAATCAAGAACTACAGAATGCTTCCCTCCCCCCACACCTTACCACCACATTAGTTACAACAGTTCCTTTTCCCCAATACCTCATATCCGACTATCAAGAAAAATTCCAGCCCTGGCTGGTGTAGCTCAGTGGATTGAGCACAGGCCTGCGAACCAGACAATCGCAGTTCGATTCCCAGTCAGGGCACATGCCTGGGTTGCAGGCCAGTTCCCTGCAGGCCAGTTCCCAGCAGGGGGCGCATGAAAGGCAACCATACACTGATGTTTCTCCCTCTCTCCTTCCCCTCTAAAGATAAATAAATAAATAAAATATTTTTTAAAAAATTCTACTCTAGTGCAAAAAAAAAAAGAAAAGAAAAGAAAAAATTCCAAGGCACACTCAAAGGTAAAAACAATTTGAAGAAAGAGAACAAGCCTCAAAACCAGATATGGCAGGAATGTTGGAATTATCAGACCATGAATTTAAAACTATTATTAATTTGCTAAGGGCTCTGGTGAACAGAATAAACACCATATAAGGAGATGAGGCCCTAGCAGGTGTGGCTCAGTGGACTGAGTGCCGACCTGTGAACCTAAAGGTCACTGGTCCGATTCCCAGTCAGGGCACATGCCTGAATTGTGGGTCAGGTCCCAAGTTGGGGGCATGCAAGAGGCAACCAATTGATGTATCCCTTGCACATCTGAGTTCCTCTCCCTCCTTTCCCCTTGCTCTAAAAATAAATAAATAAAATCTTTAAAAAAAACTGTTTTTAAAAAATAAATAAAAAGATGAGCAATGTAAGCAGAGAGATGTAAATCCTAAGAATGAACCAAAAATGAAATGCTAGAGATAAAAAACACTGTAATAGAAATGAAGAATGCCTTTGATAGACTTATTTATATAGTGGACATGGTTGAGGAAAGAATCTCTGATCTTGAAGATATCTCAATAGGAACCTCCAAAACTGAAAAGCAAGGAGAAAAAAAAGACTGAAAAAGAACAGAACAAAATATCCAAGGACTGTGGGATAACTACAAATGATGTAATATATGCACAATGGGAATACCAGAAGAAGAGGAGAAAGGAACAGTAGGAAAAGGTGAAATAAAAATAACTAAGTTTACCAAATTAAAGTCAGATATAAAAATACAGATCCAGAAAACTCAGAGAACATCAAGCAGGATAAATGTCAAATAATTCTAAACCTAGGCAATTCATTTCCAAAATACAGAAAATCAAAGATAAAGAAAAAATCTTGACAGAAGCCAGAAGAAAAAAAGACCTTACCTATTGAGCAACAAAGATAAAAATTATACCCATCTTCTCAGAAACCATGCAAGCAAGAAGAGTGGACTGAAATACTTAGTGTTGAGGAAAATAAAAATCCCAACACACCAACCTAAAATTCTTTGCCCTGTGAACCTAAACTATTAAGTCTTTATTTTCTATTTTTAAAGTATATTTTATTGATTAGGCTCTTACAGTTGTCCCAATTTTTTCCTCCCTTTATCCCCCTCTGTCCTGTGCCCCCTATTTCCAACATCCCCCTCAACCTTCCTTCATGTCCATGGGTTGCACAAAGAAGTTCTTTGGCTTCTCCATCTCCTATATTTTTCTTAACCTCCCCCTACCTATTTTATGCCTACCAATTATGCCTCTTATTCCCTATACTGTTTCTCCCCATTGTCTCCTTCCCCCTCCCCACTGATAATGTGATCTCCATTTATGTGATTCAGTTCCTATTCTAGTTGTTTGCTTAGTTTTTATTTTTGTTTTTTAGGTTCAGCTGTTGTCTGTTGCCATTTTACTGTTCATAATTTTTTATCTTCTATTTTTTAGAAGATTTTATTAATTTATCTTTAGAGGGGAGGAAAGGAGAGAGGGAGAGAAATATCAATGTATGGTTGCCTCTCATGCATCCCCTGCTGGGAACTGGCCTGCAACCCAGGCATGTGCTCTGACTGGGAATCGAACCTCAATCCTCTGGTTCGCAGGCCCATGCTCAATCCACTGAGCTACAGCAGCCAGAGCTGATCTTCTATTTCTTAGAAAAGTCCCTTTAACACTTCAAATAAGAAGGGCTTGATACAAATGAATTCCTTTAACTTGACCTTATCCAAGAAGCTCTTTATCTGCCCTTCCATTCTAAAAGAATAGTTTTGCTATATAGAGTAATCTTGGATGTAAGTTCTTGCCTTTCATGACTTGGAATACTTCTTTCCAGCCCCTCCTTGCCTGTAATGTTGCTTTTGAGAAATCAGGTAATAATCTTATGAGAACTCCTTTGTAGGTAATGATTTCTTTTCTCTTGCTGCTCTTAAGATTCTCTCCTTATCTTTAATCTTGGCTAATGTAATTATGATGTGCTTTGGTGTGTGCTTCCTTGGGTCCAACTTCTTTGGGACTCTGAGCTGCCTGGACTTCCTAGAAGTCTATTTCCTCTGCCAGATTAGGGAAGTTTTCCTTCATTATGTTTTCAATTTTTTGTTCTTGTCCTTCTGGTACCCCTATGAATAAGATGTTGGAACATTTAAAGTTGTCCCAGTGGTTCCTAAGCCCCTCCTCATTTTTTTGAATTCTTGTTTCTTCATTCTGTTCTGAGTGAATGTTTCTTTCTTCCTTCTCCAGACCATTGATATGAGTCCCAGTTTCCTTCCTGTCACTATTGGTTCCCTGTATATTTTCCTTTATTTCACTTTTCATAGCCTTCACTTCTTTCTCTATTTTGTGACCATACTCAACCAGTTCTGTGAGCACCCTGATTACCAGGGTTTTGAACTGTGCATCTGATAGGTTGGCTATCTCTGTCACTTACTTTTTTTTCTGGAGTTTTGATCTGTTCTTTCATTTGTGCTATATTTCTTTGTCTCGGTGCACCTGTTACTTATAAAAGGCAGAATCTTAGGTATCCATGGGTGGGGGCAAAACCATCTTTGCTGTGTTGTGGCACTGTCTGTGAGGGAGGGGTCAGATAGGGAACAATACTGCTTGCTCAGCTCTCGCCCCACTTTCCATCACTTCCTTCACTTCCAAGAAGTGCACTGTTCCCTTTCAGGTGCAGTTTCCCAGGTGGATGGGTTTGTGTACATTCCTGGATCCCATGGGCCTCTCCAATGGACTCTCCTTTGAGACTGGGAGTTTCTCCTGCTTTTGCAACCAGGATTTTAGAGCCAGAGATTTTGAGTCTTTAGTTTCTCACACTGAAACCCTGCATTTCACAGTCTGTCTTGCTCCCCCATTGTTCCTCCCAGCTTATCTGCACACAAACGTGGGACTGCCTGGTCAGCCAGCCACCACCTCACCCACACAGTCCTCTGCCTTGCTGTGCTTCCCCCCCACCCGGATGCCCATCTTAGCCCCTCCTATCAGTCTGGATGTATGTTTGCTTATCTCCTTGGTTGTTGGAGTCCCATGCAGCTTGATTTTCTGGCAGTTCTGGTTATTTTTTGTTTTTAAATTGGTTGTTATCCTTCTTTCGGTTGTGCGAGGAAGTTCAGCATTTCTACCTATGCCTCCATCTTGGCCAGAACTACTACAAACTATTAAGTCTTTAAAAAGAATGCAGTTCATTAAAATTTTGGGGGGAAAGAAAAGCCTCTGAAATTACTTTCAAAACTCTCATACAAAAATTTCAACTTCATGCCCTGGCTGGTATGGCTCAGTGGATTGAGCACCAGACTGTGAAGCAAGGGGTTGCCAGGTTGACTCCCAGTCAGGGCACATGCCTGGGTTGCAGGCCAGGTCCTCAGTAAGGAGTGGGTGAGGGGCAACCACACACTGATGTTTCTCTCCCTCTCTTTCTCTTTCTCTCTCCCTTCCCCTCCCTCTAAAAGTAAATAGATAAAATCTTTTTAAAGAAAATCTCTGAAGGGATTGCAGGAACAATTATAAAGGACACCTGGACAATAACAAGGGCAGGGCGGAAACAGGGGAGGGCTGGGGTGGTGGGGAGGGATGGGGTGGTGCAGAGTAGTAGGGGAAAAGGCAGGAAACTATACTTGAACAACAATAAAAAATGTTTAAAAAATAAATAAACACTGATATGGTAAAAAAAAAATCTCAACTTCAGCTGATATTAGTTCAGAATAATTAGTAATAGGGAGAGGAGACAGGATGAAAGAAGGTGAAGATTTAGCCAAAGAATACACATGCGTAACTCATAAACAAAGAAAACAGTGGTTACCAATAGAGGGAAGATGGGGTGGAGGTGAGCAAACAGGGAACAAATGGAGACATCTGTAATAGTGTCAATATTTTTTTAAAAAAGAATATGCTAGAAACTGTCCTAAGCATTCAATACTTCACTAAACCTTTAAAATAAAAGCCTCAGCATAGAAAATAATTTGGGTTCTCAAACTGTTTTAAAAACTATGGTTAAGCCTTGGCTGGTATGCTCAGTAGATTGGGTATTGGCCTGCAAACCCAAGGGTTGCTGGTTCACTTCCCAGTCGGAGCACATGCCTGGGCTGTGGGACAGGTCCCCAGTAGGGGGCACTCACAAGGCAACCACACATTGATGTTTCTCTCCCCCTCTTCCTCTCTCCCTTTCCCTATCTCTAAAAATAAATAACTAAAATTGTTTTAGAAAATAAATAAAATAAAAACTGTGGTTAATATATGATATTCTGAGAAAATCCCATTTCTAGAGAAACTCTCATACATAAGCATGCCCAAGGACTTAAGGATGTTCAGAGCAGCACTCTTCATAATAATGAAAATCTGGAAACAACTCAATCGTCCATCGACAGTAGAATAAACCATAGTACACTCATACAGCAGCAGAAATTAATAAAATAAAGCTATACACATCAACGTGAGTGAATTTTTTTTATCCTCACTCAAGGACATGTTCATTGATTTTAGACAGGGGACAAGAGAGAGAGAGAATCATTGATGTGAGAGAGAAACATCAGTCAGTAAGTAATTGGGCATCAAACTGGTAACCTAGGCTCTTGGGAATCAAACCTGCAAACTGTCAGTTTATGAGACAATGTTCCAACCAACTAAACTACATAAATCAATTTTAAAACAAAGATATAAATATATGTACCACAGCTATAAGCTGATAAAACTTAAAATTGTCTCTGTAGACCAAGGTTTCAGGTTCTATCCCCTGTAAGGCACACACAAAATCAACCAAAGAATGTATTAAAGGGTGGAACAACAAATGGATATTCCTCTCTCTTTCTCTCACTCTTTCTTCCTCTCTCTAAAATCAACAAATAAAAGAATTTTTAAATTAAAAAAAAAAACTTGAAATCAAGTTTGCCAAATTTCAAAAGTGATGCTCTTTCCTTTATGTTATACAACTTCCATTCTGCCAACTTGATACTAATACCTACCCAGTGGTCCCATAAGATTTTCATGAAGCTGAAAAACTCCTATCACCTAGTTTAGTGACATCATAGCAATAATAAAATTAAAGCACAAGGCATTACTGCCTTGTGTCCTGTCCCAGTCCACTGATTGCTATCAACTAGAAATGCCTGGGGTACTCACATGGACCCCAGTGAGCTTCCCAGACATCTCCCCTTTCTAAACCAACTTTATAAGTAGACCTACTCAAACTATAATTACAAAAGGCTCTTCAGCAATAACCATTAGGAGACTCTAGAGAAAAAAAGGAGTTTATTACTTACAGGCCCTGGAGCCTTGAACGCCTGCCCAGGGCACACAGCCAGGTCAAGTGTAGAGAGAACAAGAGCCTAGGGCTCTGCTGTTTCAGCTAAGGGTTTTATGGGCTTACTCTTTATTGGTGAATTTAAAACAAAAGAGTGGGAATTTAATGCACCAGAAGAGGCAAAAAACAAAAAACAACAAGTATCCCAAATGGTTAGTTATCACAGTCAACCAAGATCTCTGAAACCACTTTAGTGTGGAGAGATGGCCTGGCTCCTTATCTAATGGCTGGCGATGTGTCTATTCTAGATAGCCTTCCTTGAAGCCAAAAGCCTCTTTGAAATGAATGCTTATTTGGAGTGGATGCCTAGGCAGTCAAAGCATACAGCAGGCGTTTGCATTAAAAAAAGAAAAGTCTTGAGTCATGGCTTATGCTACAATTACGGGTTTGTTGTGGTGCTTGTAAACAAACCTGCTGTGCTGCCAGGGTATAAAAGTATAGCACATACAATTGCAGTAATAGGCTATACCACCTAGGTTTGTGAAAGTGCACTCAGTGATGTTCAAACAACAATGACAAAACTGCCGAAAGAGAAATTTGGGAACATATTACCAATCTTTACTAATAAAAAATATGCAAATGTAAAGCTATGAATCAGCTGGCAACATAACCAGTACTATTGCTTTGCAGGGTGTTAATGATGTTCCTCTTCTAACATTTCACACTCACAAATATATGGCCATGATTAAGTTTAGCTTTTCTGAAGCCAAATGACCTGTATTAAAATCAAACCAACTAAAGTGATACTATATTTCATTAGCATTAGCACTAAACAAATGATCTAATAATGCCAAGATTTTTAGTTTATTTATACATAAGCATTGCTAAAATGCATTAAATAGAACTTAAGCTAAGGAATCCTGAACTTCAAATCCTGAAGCTTCCACTTTTGAGTTTTTTTGACCTTTAGCAAATTGCATCTTTGAGCCTGCAAAATGAATATGTTATCTCCCACATTTGGTTATTATCAGAATTAAATAAGATTAAACAGGAGAAAATTTTTAGGTCATTGTATTGTATTTTATAGATGTTCAATAAATATAAATTTCCTTCCTTTATTCTAGGACTGGAAAAGAAAAAAATTGAAAAGCAAAAAGACAACCAGAAAAATTAGAAGAAAGTAGTAGAATCTTTAAGAATAATAGTTTTCTACACAAAAATAAGTATAATTTAGAGAAAATAAAGATTTCCCTCCATTAGCAGCAACAGTCTTAAATAAATAAAAATAAAATTTAGCTCATAAGATTCTATTTCCTCTATATTCCTTTGACGAAGATGAGAAATGTAATTATTAAAAAGTAGCATTTCCACAGAAATACTATATGGATTAAAATTAAATTACAGAGCTTCTGATCTGTTACTTATTGTACTATGCTGAACCATTTTTTCAAATTATAAAACAACTCAGCAATATATCACAGAGCTGACAATGTAAATTATATCTTTTACCTTTTGGATTCAGGAGGCTGTCTCTTCGTTATCATTTCACGGAGTCTTGCAGCTGACTGCAAAATACAAAACATATAAACATAAAAATACTATCTTACAACTACATAGCTTACCTTTTAAAATATCAAGTATCTGCTACTATATCCACATAAACTAAGAATCTATACAGAAAATGAAGATCCTTAAAATATGATACCTGCTCTCAGCAGTAGACAGGAGACAAATATACTCTCAGTAATAAAAGCAGGTATATAAGCCCTGGCTGGTGTGGCTCAGTGGATTGAGTGTCTGGCCTATGAACCAAAGGACTGCCAGTTTGATTCCCAGTCAGGACGCATGCCTGGGTTGCAGCTGGGCCCCCAGTAGAGGGCATGCAAGAGGCAACCACACAGTGATGTTTCACTCCCCTCTCTCTCTCCCTCCCCTCTGTCTAAAAATAAATAAATAAAACCTTAAAAAGAATAAAATAAAATAAAAATAAATAAAAGAAATTATATAGTACTATCTAAAGCCCTGACAGTCTGATGCCTTGAACCAGGTTGCTAATAAGTTTACATGATTAAACATTAAACATTTAATCAAGTATACTGTTACAAATTAAAAGACTTAACTTCTACTACGGCAATCATACTTTGATATTTTCTAGAAAAGTTTAGATTATACTTATATAATAAATCAAATCACAATTTCTGTTAATTAAAATCAAAATTAGAGACAGTTTATCTAAATTTCTGAATTTTCATTGATGACATGTATATAATTTAGTTACATAAAGTTATATTAACTTGCCTTCCCTTCCCTCAAGATGCAAACACACACTGAATATTTGGAAATCTGGTATTTGGAGAATTCAATTAATTATTTAACAAAGCCAAGGGTTTGATGTCTTTTGGGGGGAGTTTTCCCCCAGTGTAAACACACGTATGTAAAGTACACATTTAATACAATAATCATAAAACATTAACTTACAACTGGCCATTTATCCTTAACATTCCCTATACAAGGTATATTCCCACTATTCATAGAGTTTATGATTTAATAAAAAACATTTTTTAAAGCTTGTCTTCTGCTTCATCTACCACACATCCTTCAACCCATCCCTCCTACTTCTTTATCCTTTAGTTAAAGAAACCACTTAGACTATACCCTGTTTCTTTGAATCTAAGACAACCTTTCTAAAGACATCATTATTTTATTTAGCACCAAAGGGCAGGGGGTGGAGTAGTTGCCAGCTATAGTTTTAAGATGCTGATTTCAAAAATCTTAAAATGAAAAAAGGCTTGGAATCAATAAAATACAGTAATCTCTATTAACTGTAAAACTTGCTCCTAATTTTACCCTCCCTCATCTGACACTATGAAACCTGATACTATGAGTATTTTATTGACCTATTGGCAAAAGGAATGGCATCTTTGTTTTCATTAGAAACTCCACACAAACCTCAGATAACTGAAGTGAAGCAAAAAAATTCGCATTTTCTGATATGTTCTTCAGTCTCTTCCTCTCATATGGTGACAATCCTGAAAAATCATCCTATGAAATTACAACAAAAAGATTCCATTACTTTACATAATCCATAGCAAAAGCACCTCACAAAACTAGGTGTTAAATACTCTGCATGTATAATTTCCTTCAAATTGCACCTACTCTATTCATTTCATGATATCTTAACAAACAGTGCATAATCTTTGCTTTATTAGATATTGAGAGAAAGAGTTTGAATGTGGGATAATCACAAGATATCTATATGGCTTCCCAATTAAATAATAAGTGGTCTGACATCAGAAGTCAAGTAGTATAAACTAACAGCAAATTATTTCTTACTAGCCATTAATTACACTATGACTCAAAGTTATCCTTTCATTAAACAAGAAAACTCAGTAAGAAAACTTTCAGTTCACTGAAAGTGTTAAGGAAATTTAGAAAGAACAACAACAACAACAAAAGGAATAAACACATGAGCAGAAAAGACAATATGACTAGAGAGGCTATTTTGAAGGTCCAATATCCAATAGTTTGGGGGGGGGGGTGGCGGCAGATAAAATGGACAGAAAATAACTAGAGAAACAATACAAGAAAGTTTCTCAAAACTGAAGATAGGAGTTTCCAGATTAAAAGAGTCTAGTGAGTATGCAGCACAAGGAACAAAAAAAAAAAGATTGCAGCTAGGTATATCATCACAAAATTTCTTAACACCTAAGATAAGATCCTAAAAGCTTGCAGAGTGAAACAAATCACAAAGAACCATGAATCAGAATGGCTCTAACTTCTCAATATTGAAGGAAGCTAGAAGACATTGGAGCAATATGTTTAAAAATCTAAAGAAAATTAAATTATTTTCAAGTGACAATTCTAAATCCAATAAGCCATAAAGCAAATATAAAAGACAGATTTTTCAGACTCCGGAACTACTTCTAATACAACTTTTCTCAGGAAGTTATTATTGGGTTCACCAAAAAGCTTATTTGTTTCTTTCCATGAGATGGCTCTAGTACCACTTTGTTGTCTTTAATTTCATTCAAAACAATTTTGTTAGATCGTATTGTGTGACAGCTGTCATATCAGCAACCATTGGGGAAAAAAGCATCAAAATTAGTGAATTTTTGTATAGCCATTTTAATATTGAAGAAGGAAGAAAATACACTATATTTTCAGCATAGTATGCTTCATTATGTCAAGAAAGGTAAAAATGCAACTGAAAAGCAAAAAAAAAAAATTGTGCACTGTATGGAGAAGGTGCTGTGACTGATGAAACTTGTCAAAAGTGGTTTGTGAAGTTTGGTGCTGGAGATTTCTCACTGGACAATGCTCCAAAGTTAGGTAGAGAAGTTAGTAGCAATCAATTCGAGATATTGAGAACAATCAACATTACATCACGCAGGAGATTGCCAACATACTCGAAATTTCCAAATCAATGAAGTTATTGGTAAAAATGAAAAATGTGCCTTTCATTTCATGAAAAAACCATGCAGAGTTTTTGGCCAACCCAATATAAGCTGCACTTCACCCAAATGAAAGAATAAACAGAGAAAGAGAAAGATAGGGTCAGGCACAGTAGGGACAAAAGATAAAAGAAATTCAAATAAAAATGGCAAAAGGCAAGCCAAGAAAGAATAAAACGGTCCACAAAGGAGTAAGATGAAGGGCCCCAGGAAATATTTAATGAAGAAACAAACATATATATATATATATATATATATATATATATATACATATATATGAAGCCATTAGAAATCTTTATATTGCAAGAAATTTTACAATTCTGGTAAAGCTTGGGCCATACCTAATTAAGAATATGGGAAGGGAAAGCGTGGGATGTAGGACACGTGTGTAAAAACTGTGGTGTGAAGTGAAATAAATCTTCATTTTTTCAAAGTAAATAGACAATGTGAGGGGGAAAAAGTTTTAAAAAGTCTGAAAGTGCAAAAGGTCTATTGGGAAACAACAAATAGCAATGTGGCAGAAAACACTGACTGTTTTGATTTGTTTCAGTGTGTATGTGTACATATGGAATCACCACTATGTGTATGTATATATACACATGTGGAATTATATTACTTAAACACACATATGCATGTATTACTTTGACCAAAATAAGAATTTTTCTCACATATACAAAATAATAGTGGCAGCAAAGGTGAAAGATTTTTGTCATTGCCTTTAAAACTGCTTCTTAGAAAAAAACATCAACACTTGTGATCAAGGTCTTCCTAAGAATCTATTTCAAAATGCTAAATACTGAGATCAAAAAAACAAATTTAAATGATTCTACTTAGCACCAAAAAAAAAAAATTAAGAAAATTTATTAGAAAAATCAGGTTTTTGTCCTGACTGGTGAGGTTAATAGGTTGGGCATCATCCCACAGAATGAAAGCTTGCCAGTTGGATTCCTGACCAGGGCACAAGCCTGGGTTGTGGGCCAGGCCCCGAGTTAGGGGCATGCAAGAAGCAACCAATAGATGTTTCTCTCTCTCTCTTTCTCCCTCCCTCCCCATCTCTCTGAAAATAAAATTTTATAAAAGACAAAGAAAGAAAAAAGAAACATCAGTTTTTAATAGTATGTGTAATTCAAACTATTCTCATTCATTACCCACCCAAAAACTTGCAACATGAAAAAGACCAAGCAAACAACATCAGAAAAAATGAACTCTCAAAATAAACACAGAAACTTAACATAAAAACTCCACTATCTTCAGAAACACCTGAGAAGTTACTGTATCATAAAACAAGATAGAGATGCTATGTTTAAAAAAAAGAAAAGTTGCCCTGGCTGGTGTAGCTCAGTGGATTGAGCACGGGCCTGTGAACCAGAAGATTGTGGTTCGATTCCCAGTCAGCGCACATGCCTGGGTTGCAGGCCAGTTCCCAAGAGGGGACACATGAGAGGCAACCATACATTAATATTTCTCTCCTTCTCTCCTTTCCCTCTAAAGATAAATAAAAATAAATAAATCAGTAAATAAATAAAAATAAAAATAAAAATAAGAAAAGTGGACTTCTAGCTAAGATGGAGGTGTAGGTAGATACTCTTTGCCTCCTTGCACAACCAAAAGAAAAATAACAACAAATTTAAAAACAAAAAATAACCAGAACTGCATGGAAGTCTAACAACCAAGGATTTAAAGAAAAAACATTCAGGGACTTCCGCCAAGATGGAGGCATAGGTGGATCAACCGTGCCTTCTCACACAACCAAGTTTAGAGACAACTAAATATTAGCAACAGAAAACATAGCCAGAACACAGAAAATTGAACTTTTTGGAAGTCTGTTAACAACAAATTCTTCAGCCTGACCGGTAAGGGGCGAAACCAGCAGCTGGTGGAGCGGGGTTGCACAGGAAAACTCGGTCAGACCTACTCAGGCGCGCGGAATCCAGGCACAGGGTTGGACCTAGTGAGCGAGCGAGCGACCAAGCGAGCGACCGAGCGACCGCGGGGAAACAGCAAGGGAGCAGGGCTGTGGGTTGACTGTGGTCGCGCATTTGTGCGTGGGTGGACAGGCAAGGGAGTAGGCAATTGGACCAGGACCCAGCCGGTCCCCGCGGCAAGCGGCAGGGAGGGCGCCGCCATTTCCCTGCTCTGACCCCACCTCCACATACAGAGTCATAACCCAGTGACTCTGAGTGGCCCAGCCCAGGTGAACCACCTAAGCCTCTGCTCCTCACCCAGCGGCAGGAAACAGCAGAGGGTGCCACCATTTCCCTGCTCTGACCACACCCCCCACATACAACGTCACAACCCAGCGACCTGGTAGTCCAAGGCTCCGCTCCTCAGACTTAAAGGGCCAGAACAGACCAAAAATGGCTCAAGAAGATCTCAAAGCCCCAGAGCCGATATCTAAGCGATGAAGAAATAGCAAAACTCTCAGATCCACAGTTTAAAACACTGGTCATCAGGATCCTCACAGAACTGGTTGATTATAGCCACAAATTAGACAAATATATGAAGGCAAAACTAATTGAAATGAATGGAATTGCACAGGAAACCAATAGCAATGAAAAGGAAACTGGGACTCAAATCAATGGAGTGGACCAGAAGAAAGCAAATAATGGCCAAACAGAAAAGAGTCAAGAAGCAAGAATTCAAAGAAATGAGAAGAGTCTTAGGAACCTCCAGGACATCTTTAAACGCTCCAACATCCGAATTATAGGGGTACCAGAAGGGGGAAAGGCACAGCCGCCAGTGGAAAACTTATTTGAACAAATAATAAAGGAGAATTTCCCCAAGCTGGCAAAGGAAATAGACTTCCAGGAAATCCAGGAAGCTCAGAGAGTACCAAAGAAGTTGGACCCAAGAAGGAACACACCAAGGCACATCATCATTACATTAGCCAAAATTAAAATGAAGGAGAGAATCCTAGAAGCAGCAAGAGCTAAGGGGACAGTCACCTACAAAGGAGTCCCCATCAGACTGTCAGCAGATTTCTCAAAAGAGACCTTACAGGCAAGAAGAGGCTGGAAAGAGGTATTCCAAGTCATGAAATCCAAAGACCTACAACCAAGATTGCTCTATCCAGCAAAACTTTCATTTAGAATGGAAGGGCAGATAAAGTGCTTCTCAGATAAGATCAAATTCAAGGAGTTCATCATCACCAAGCCCTTATTATATGAAATGTTAAAGGGACTTATCGAAGAAAAAGAAGTTAAAGAAACATGAACAGTGAAAGGACAACAAACTCACAGTTAGTAACAACCACACCTAAAACGAAAGCAAACTAAAAGGACAGCTAGATCAGGAGTGGAAACATAGAAATGAAGATCTCAAGGAGGGTTAGCAACAGGGGAGTGGGAGGAGGAGAAGGGGGGAGAAGGTACAGAAAATAAGTAGCATAGACAGTAGATAGAAAATAGATGGGGGGGGGCAAGAATAGCATTGGAAATATAGAATCTAAAGAACTTGAGACACATGGACATAAACTAAAGGGGGGGTAATGGTGGGGACGGGGGAGTAGGGTGGAGGGGAATGAAGGGGGGGAATAGAACAACTGTAACAGCATAATCAATAAAAAAAATTAAAAAAAAAAAGAAAAGAAAA